AGCACTTGCTGGCTCTTTGACTGCTTTAAGAGCCAAAAATCTGCCCATCCCTTTTCTACAGAGTAGATTATGTGTAACTCCTTCCGATTTTTTTAATGAAGTTTTCAAGGAGTTCCTTAGAATTGCAAAAAATCTGCGTTAATCTGCGTATGTGGGGATATAACTTTCTCCTTTTGTTACTTTGGTCGGTCAATAATAGCCTAAATTTTTCAAAAAACCTCGCACTTATTTGTCCAAATGCGCCAATCTTCGAATTTGTCGTGAATTTCGGTGTTATGTTCGCGAGACGTTAAACTTTACCCTTTATCAGTGTCTGATCCCTGCCTACCGAATAACATTGTGAAATAAACGAATGAAATGTCCAAAATCAATAGTTATCTTATAATCAAAATGGTTAACAAGCTTGACATGCACGCTTAAAAATAATGCGTCCATAGTTATGCACCAGTAAAAACTAACATGTTTGCACTTTGTTATTCAAAGGCTTTAAAAAATAGATTTGGTCCTTCGAGTTGATGAACGTAAAGGGCCGTTAACCTGGCATCACCGATTTTTTCCTAAATTTCTTTAAGTTGACGCAAACTCCAAAAAATTAATGCGTCTACAGTTATGCTTCTCAGTGTATACTATATTTCGGCAGCATTAATGCAAAAAGGTCCTTTTCGTCAAATGTGAAATTTAATAGGTGAAGTGAAAAAACGTTTTAAATTTAAATAGGAAATGCTTTCAGAGCCGTTCTAAAGATGCCAATAAATCTGCGCCTGGTTTAATATATGGTATTGAATTTTGATATGGAGAAGTGTCTGAGAGCCAGTTAGGGAATATTAAAAAAGCGAATTTCTAATGCATCGATATACCCTTCATAATGGTAAGATGACATTTATGCAGTGACAACTAAGTCAAAGGCGATTTCTGTGACAATTGTACATAGAGGGTATAATCGAAGCCCTCGATGTGTAAGTCAGGGAGGTACTTTATATCCGTATTTTGTATCGTTTTTGTCTATTATAAAATTATGTTCAGGTGTGGTGAATTAGGTAATTTATTCATGGCAGGGATGTGATGTTATGCCACGTAATTTAGCATAGCGATTCTTAAAAGCAGGGATGTCCAGCCATACTGTTTAGTTTTGGTGGTTCGTTTTGTTGAACAGTAAATAAAATGCATTGGAATCAAAGGAGAAAATGTTGCCTCAAATTTAAGTTATACCTCTGTAGCTGCCAAACCGATAATAAATTATGGCTATAGGCTGCGCATCCCTGCTTTTAAATCGTCTATACAGGTTCGATTAATGTGATGATTCTTAGAAAAAGGCCGAATTATCTTTTAATAAATATATATTTTTTTCTCTCTTTAACGTACCTGATCACCGCCTCAATTAATTGCTGTCCCGGCGTCGTATTTGTATTCGCATTGCACTGTGCTAGAAACTCTTTAGCCTCATATTTGCTGCGTATCCACGCTTCCTTTTCTTCGCGTGTAGAATTATGCTTTGGTTTGCTGCGTTGGCGTGTGTTTGCTTCCCACACTGAATTGGCTAGACTATTGCCTATAGCTAGCATTACACTAAGGTGACCGGCACTGCAAACCGAACAAATAGGCATATACATAAGTCACTCACACTTTGACTAGTTAGACAAAAAAAAAAACACTTACGGCCAATCATCTAAGCCCAGCGAACGCACTTTGGAAATGTGTGAACCCAAGTTGCGATGAATGCCAGAACATTCGATGCACATTAGCACACCCAGATTTAGACTAGCCCATTCAGGATCTGCAATAATATAAAGTTAAGTGTAAGCGAACATTTCGAACACTTCTAACCAAATACCGTTCTTTAGGAATCTACTTACTCGGCGCATCGCAGTCGACACAATAGCCATTGCCTGGCACGCGCGTACGTATCGCCACCATTGAGGCCAGCTCGCTTGTGGTCGCCGGTTTAGTTTTCGTACTTTCAATTCCCTGCAGACTCTTGAAGATCTCCTGCTCGATAGCAGCTACCCAGTCGTCACGATCCTCAGAGCTTGCTGCCTCAAAATGCCACTGTTTCGAATCCAAAGATACAATGAAAAATTCATAAATATCTGAATCGTCTACTTCATTCGATTTCACACTGCTGCTCTTCATGCGACGATGACGTTTCTTGACATTTGGTGTCTGAGATTCTAATTTGTTGGCCGCATTCACGGCGAGTAATTCACGTTGTTGCTGCTGCAAATGTTGCTGGCTATCACTGCCAGCGATAAATGTCTGTGAATTGGAGTTGGACATGGCGATGCCCTCATCGCCACTGGTCTGCTGCGAAGAGTTCGATTTGACTGGCTCGCGTAGCGTATCGAAGGCTGTGAGCAGTACTTTTTCCGTTAGCTTCTTCTCCTTGTTATCCTTGACAATCGATAGACAACCAATGCCTTCGCTTAGTCCATTTTGCCCATGACTACGACCATTCGCATGCATTGATGTTGTAAGCGCGCTATTGGTGATGATCGATTTAGA